TAAGTTGAAAGACAAAACTCTCAACCACTAGACTAATGTGACTTGCATAACAATAGAAAGATTATGAATGGTATAATCTAAATTAGTGGATAACAATAAAAATGAATAAAATTGTATTCAACATATGAAAATTGAGGTCATTAATGAAACAGATAAAGTACTTCTTTCAGCTGAGCAGTATGATTATACATAGTGCAAAGATTCGAAGCAGCAATTAAAAAAAAATCTTATATATATGTAAGTTCAGTATTCTTAAAACTCATCAGTGAACTTCTCTACTTCATTGAAGGAGATTGTAACTGTTAATAATATTATTTCAGGATAAGTGATTGCATCTTAAGAAGATTAATTCAAGTTATAGAAGATAGTTATTTATTAATATATCTTAAATTTATATTTTTTTAAGTTATACATAATAATAATACTTCCTTAATAATATTTAGGTCAACAGAAGCGCTAATACATTTTACATAAAAATTAGATGCCGAATGTATGAGCCACTAGATCAAATTTATTTTGACAATATTGCAACAGAGATTTCAACATCCATTTATCAAAATCCCTTGAAAAACTAAAGAAGAGATCGTGAAAAGTGAAATGAACTCAACAGATGGATTTATAAATAAGAATTATGAGGATAATGCATTTAAGGAAAAGTACATTTAAAGTATGTTAAAAAGACAGATACTTAAGATATTATTACTACTACATTGCATGTATTGAGCGAAAGTTCTAAAATAAAAACTAAAATAATGAAAAATGAGAATGTAAACGTAATCTAGATATTCATCTGGACCGTTATTGATTGAATGCATGAATATTCCAAATTTAATTGACAATCTAGCTGATGTGAGATGCTCTACAGCTTCACAAAAGTTTCAACAAGATTCAATCTAAGTAAAAATATTTTATCATATGCTTGAATATGTGGAAAAAAAGGCTGGTTGGATTATTACTCTAAAATGATTGAATATGATACGCTGCATAAATCAACTAATTTTATTTATGGTTATCGTGACTTGATATTTTAGGATAGAAAATACATCGAATCTTCATGTTATCTCTTTCCTTATTTACTATTTCTTATAATACAATTTTTATTGTTGCACGAAAGCACTTTTTGTTTCTTTTTGAAACTTTTTGCATCCAATAAACACGCAGTGTCATGGAATCATGAAAAAGATCATTAAACCAAATATTGTAATAAATCAACCATAACTCAATATTGTGCTCGATTGCCATGTTGGTAGTTGCAAATATGCTGTCTGCTAGTTGAAATCTATTAAAAACTCCTAGATAGCAACTGATACACAGTCTCTTAAAATTGTTTTCAGTTTCATCTATTTCTTTATGCTAGTAAGAGCATTATTTTTGGTACGAGTTGTAATGTATATTTCTAAATCTTAAAAATATTACTTCATTGATGGTTAAGGGAGCGGGAGACCCTCTTCTATCAGCTAGTACAGAGCAGGGCGGTTAGGGACTCTTTGACCATATACGGAGATACTCTCTGATAAGATCCTTATTGCTGGCAATGTGATTTTGTTGGGTTAGATTGAATCTTGATGTAAAAGGGCAATGAAAGAGGGAGACAGGAGAAAGGAGATGTAGAGTAGGGGAATAGGGTGAGGGAGAAAGGTGAAGCAATATTTGCTAATGTTATAAGAAACATTATTAAATTTACTATTCTGGTTATAAGAAAAAAGCATGTTTCCATAGAGGATCACTAGCTATTATTATTGTGAAAAATATGGCTGCATTGTTTACCCTGTACACTTTTTCTCTAAACTAATATCCCAAGGCTATACCCTCAACGTGCTACTGTTTATTCGATAGAATCTGAATTTATTAGCATGGAATTAAGAAGCTTTCAATTTTCTTTTTAAAATTATGACAAGTACATAATTATCTATTAATGTTACTACTAATAGCCATGTTTCCCTTTCTTTGACCCTTTGCTTATCTTCTCAATTTGAATGATTTGGAATCTCTGTTGTGAATTGGTTTAACATAAAAATTGATTCACAATTAAAGATTTAATAGTTCTTGGAAAAGCCAGCATCATTTCTCTTACTATAAAACCGTATTTATATTCTGCTTCATACTAATTGTGAGAGTGGCTTGCAGCAATTACAAATAGTACGGACTTATTTTATGTTGTTTGGAATGTTCGAGTAAGAGGTTTGAAAACTTGTGACATTTTAGCTGGAAGGAGATTAGCTTTCAATATATGCTTTCACGACTATATAATCTGCATCATGCTATATGGTTTGGTAAAGTTTCTATTTAATTTCAAAGCTGCAATCGCAAACTAATATGAGTGAATGATAGAAATTAGAAACTGGGCGTTGCTCCTATGGCTTAAATGAATCTCCAAGCGAGTATCATCAATGAATCTTTATATCTCTGCTTCAAATGAAGCTTTTTTAATGATGATTAAATGAATGTTCATGGAATGCTTCAAATTAGTTTAATATATCTGCTTTGTCTCATGGATGTCCCAAATTGTAAACTATGAAAATTTTTGTTAAGGACTCGTGACTTCTTTGTATTGTTTGCTGTTTTTGTTCTTTAAGGTTTTATCATGTAGTTCTTCATTCCTTTTTAGCAATGATCCTTATCTATATTTAATTTAAATTTATGATTTTATTTTATTGAACGTTAGTGTTCGAATAGATATTTTTGCTATTCACTTTAAGATTGTGCAGGTGGCAAAATTGAGATTAAAGTTAGATTTTGAAAGTAATTAAGATGAGAAATTTCAACAAGCAATTGCTCTTATTTGTATTGATTATTATAACAATCATTATTTGACCAAAAAATCATTTAGAATTCTAAGTATTCAAGGTTATGAGTATGGAATTAAAATATTTTGAGGCTATTCAACTTGATATTATGAAAATTATAAGATGGAATCTCATATATTTTTAGACTAACGTAATATTACGAGTAGTAGTCCAACGAAAGATGTAAAATGGATGGCACTTGAGAAGCAACTCATAATAATTATGTTAAATTTATTACAAAATGAATACTTAAGAATATTAGTAAATGATTTTAGCATTCATTGAAGACAATTAAAGACAAATTGTTATTTCTTCCATCATTAGATATTTTTTCTCCCTGAGAAAATAAATAATTCTAGGTACTAAGTATTATCCACTTTTAAGATATGCTGACATTTAACCTTTTTTTATTGGAAGATTTACATACATACCACTCAATTCATATGTATATACATACACCTACGCTTCAATTTTTACATGCATGCCACCTTACCTATGCATGAAAAGGTGCATTTCAATTTTTAAAAGTTAAAATAGTGATGTTTTTTATGTGATATGAAAATTTGGATGTTATTAATGTAAAAATCAAACTTTAGCCATTAGATATGTACATACATATGAATTGGGTGGTATGTATATAAACGTGTCTTTTATTTACTTGCAAGATAGTTTATATAATCATAAATTATATGAATAGAATTATAATGGTGCAATTGCTTGAACTCATGTGATTGCTCATATGTCTAAAGAGCAACGATTTTCACATTAATTAAAACATAAAATGCCTACTCAGAATATAATGTGCATAAGGATTTGATATGATGCTATTATGCATTAACTAAATGAAAAAACAACAATTTATGCTATAAGATATTTTTAGAATATTTATTAAACTCTCAAGCTAAACTTTCTTACGCCACCACAAAGTATGATACTTTTTATTTCCCGTACTTTTAAAATTATAGAAATGATTTTTTATTGTTAAGCAAGTAATATATTTACTTTTTGAAACAGGAATGAATTTTAAAATTTTTTTCACTATATATATGATTAATATATCAATTGCATGATTATCAGAAGTGTGAAAATTGTTATTATCACCAATAACAATGACATTTGCGGCCCTCTATTGCTATTATCACCAAGAACTATATTTGTTGTTAAAACTAAATGACTATTGTACATTTGTGATCATCAATATTACAATTTCATATTCTCTAATTCAAGAGAAGAGTTGGAATATGTACTTACGATGATATAGTGGATCATTTTGACAGGGCTGGACCCCATGATTTTTTCTTTTTCCAGAATTTTTTCACGTAAAAAATTTTGGTCTCCTCCTGCTACTTTTTTATTATTTGTGTGTGTGTTAGATCTTCGTGTAACGCTAAGACATTAAATTATTACCATACTACTACGAATCTTCCGACAGGCAACAACACTATGAACACTCATAGAGTTGCTCAAGTAAACTTAATAGTAACGAGTTGCATGCCAATTCATAAAGCCATGATCTTCCCATTTTGGAGGGACCAAAACCTGCTGGTAAATGTCAGACGGAATGAAACTAACTCTGGAACATAAGTGAAAGAACAAGCATAAAAAGGATATCGCAGTACAAGTACATTTGAATTAATAGAGCATGGAAGAAAGGTGACATAAAACAATAAAACAGGTGAATTTATTTATTTCGTTTCATATCTTAATATGTATTTAAGGATGGGTTCCATGATAGAAATGAAAATGCAAAAATTCATGTCGTAGATAAGTTACACTTATAATTCTGGACAAGAATTTTTAGTATCAAGCTCGAACTTCAGAAGAGCATGAAGCTTTAAGGAACAAAACTGATAATGACTAAAATTGGATGATCAGAATTTTAAAGCAGAGTGTTAGGATTGGCCATTAAGGATTATGCAGCAATTTGAAAAAGAAACACGGAATGAGTGAATGCAAGAGAGAAATTTCAGAAAAAATAAAAACAATTAAATTCTAATTTATTCCTTAAAGATTGTTACATAGAAATGGAACACTTTTCCAAGCAATATGAGAGTTTACTAGGTAAAGTATATATTCAAGTCTATGTAGAAAGTTAGCAGAATACATGAAACAGTTTTTTACACTTTGCGCATAACAAGATTATAAGGGTATAATATTACAGTTTTCAAATACAAATAGATCTCCAAATGCAAGATAAAGAAGGAAAATACTCACTGTGAATGAAATCTACAGCCCGACATATATCTCCAAAAGAGGGGGCAAATAAGTAATCTCTAGTTGGTAATACTAAATGCTCAATCCCATAAGCCTGTGTTTAGGAAAAAAAAAAAAGGCAGTTGAACTACATCAATTGGTTCCACATAAATTGGAAAACAAATTAAGAAATCATAGGCTAATAAATATAATGCATTCGGCCTTAATAAAATAAAATTCTTGGCTTACTAATAATATTAGCATTAAAAGCGTGACAAACCCACTTCTAAAAATGCCTACAACACACTTTATAATAACCAAAATCAAATAATTAGTAACCAAATTCTTATGAATCACCACATTTAAACACATCTACTTTAAGTGAATCAACCCACATAGTAACCATCTAATCGTACCCTCCTACGTCATGCAATGTCGAAATAAACATATACATGTAGCTAGTAATCAAATTAAAAATATAAATAAGAACATATACATGTAGCTAGTAATCAAATTAAAAATATAAATAAGAAAATTCGCACACATCTACAAGAACAAGATCAACACAAAGAATAATCAAATTCAAATTTTGATTAATTAAATCCTCCCAACAGTAATAATGGGTTTCCTCCATGCAACAACAACATTGAGAAACTCCACCTTCCATCAATGAACTAAATGGCATGTTTTTATCATTTGATGGAAATAGCGACAAGAATAAAAAGCACTTCATACGAAGACGTGGCAAGAGCAACAATGGACTTACAACGACAATACAAATACGGTTAATGGTTTTTCTCATTGACGTGGGCGCTAAAGCAACGCTCTGGAACAGACGTTGAACATGCGGGGCCAGAAAACCCATGAGTCATCGTGTAAGCGGGCGAAGAAGCGAAGGTGTCGCGAAAGCGGGAGAAGAATCACGAAGCACGATCACAATCTAGTAGGACTGCCGCCCTTCCTTTGGTATTCTTTATATAAAAAATTTTAATGGCTAATTCTCTGGATTCTTCTTGTCTCCCCACCCCTTCCTTTTGTATGAGAGTTTGCCTTTTTATTTTTTTTCCTATTTTTCTCTAATAAAAGTCTATAAATTGTTCTTTTAAGTGTGTAAGAGGAAGTTTTGGCTGTGTTATACTTTCAAATTTTTTTCCTATTTCCTGTGTGGAGAGTTTTTCTTATTCTAGAGCTTTATCCGAGGAGGTGGTGGTGCTCCAGTTGTATCCTCCTTCAAAGTGGCGTTGTATCCTTCGTATTTATCATCCCTACTCCTTCTCCCCCCTCCAACAGTCGCTAGCCTCCCCATCCTTCATTCCCGCACCCAGTCACCCTTCCCCCAATGACTTACTCATGCCATTCAGCTCCTCGGATGTCACCCCAGCCTTCAACCGCACTGTCCCTACAGTTCAACATTGTTGTCCCCCTTCTCAGCCTTCATCCCAGCCCTAGTCACCGCTGTTATGCAACAAAACATGCTGCCCAACACTCCATTGTTGTTCCTGCAGTTTTGCACATTCCCCTCCCTGCTACCAACATTCCTTTGTTGCCAGAACCACTGCCAACCATCCTGACCCACCTAGCCGACCTCTACCGCCTTTGGAATACACTTTAGATGTGTTTTCTTGTGTCATACATGTTCTGTATTGTTATTTTCTGTTGAGTAACAAGTATGTAAGGAGAACTCAATTCTGGGATAGAATCTGTGGCAGGTTGTGCCACTCTCACTAGTGGCCATTTAGGAGAGACATCTACTTTAGTAATAGGAGTTGAATCCCATTGACCTAGATAGAATTTGACATAACACTAATAAACCCTTTGCTTATTTTCAAAATCAACAACAACAAATTAAATTTTCTACACCGCTAAGGAGTCTCTTACACCATCTTTCACCTCCCAACCCTAAAACCTAGCCATTCCACTAGCAAGCTACATGTCTAAACCTTTCTGAGAGGAGATACGGCGAGAGATCCACCGACTTCATCAGTGGATTACGGACATGGAAGATGAAATCCAATGGGAGGCTACCCGCGACCGTGGTCTGAAAGGTCGAAGGTGGGAACGAGAAGATATGAAGAATGAGCGAGAAACACAGCGTTAGTTCATACCAATTTACCACTGTAAAAAATTGCAGACTCTAGCTTCCGAAGTAGAGAGACCGCATCACTAAGTGACTCACCATTGCTACTCTCCAAAGAAACCAATCTGCAAGTCTGTCATAACCAGAAAATATTACAATTGCCACGGATTTGGACATGTTGAAGCAAAATGCATATGCAGAGTGATGAAATAAACGAGCAAGGCACCATAAAAAACATTGGGTAAAGACACCGTAGGCACCGAAGATGGTGATGAAATAAACGAGGAAAACCTACTTCTAGTTGGGGAGGATACACTTAGTCCCAGCTAAGCTCGTTAAAGAGACTCCAACCAACTTCATTGTAAGTGGCCAATGCAGTTATGAGTAAGAGAAGTGGATATCAGACACAGGACCCCCACAGATAAGAGAAAGACAGATATTTCAAACCTATAGACCCCCATTTGAGTTGCCACTACAGAGAGAGGTACAATATGTCCAAAGAGGAGTCATTATGTGTCATGCCTAAACTATTACAATGAGTAGTTTAGATGTTAGTGTCCGCTCAGTGGGGCACCCATCAACAAACTTCTAGAAGGGTGGGTTGAATCTCAACTTTGAAATGTGCCCTCGGAGCCTAAGGGGGCTCAAAATTCTTCAATGGGATCCAGGTCCTGTTATTAAAGTAGATGTCCCTCCTAAATGGTCATTAGTGAGAGTGGCACGGCCTGCCACAGATTCCATCCCAGAATTGAGTTCTCCTCACATACTTGTTACTCAACCACTGTACGTTTGGCAAGAGAAATTGAAGAAGTTTTCAAATGTAAGGGCTTGAGAGTTGCATTGCGAGAACATACCTCTATATGCAGCTTTCGCTCAAAATGTGCCAACAAAGAATGCACCTATTCTGTTAGAATGTGTTGTGGAATGACAACAACGACTTGATCGACCTACCAAGGGACTTAACTTTGTACCATGAAGAGCCTAGGGTTTCTACAAATGAGGCCAAAGCTTCCCAGTCCCCGAGAGATTGATGCAGGCGCTAAAACAGCGCCCTGGCGTAGGCGCTAAAACAACACACTGGCGTGGGCACTGAACGGGCGAGACCAAAAAACTTGCGGACCATCGCATAAGCGAGTGAAGAAGCGAAGGCGTCGCGAAAGTGGGAGAAGAATCACAAAGTAAGATCACGGTCTAGCAGGACTGTCGCCCTTCCATTGGTACACTTCTTCATATAGAAAGTTTTAACGGCAAATTCTCTGGATTCTTCTTGCCACCCCACCCTTTCCTTCTATGCGAGTGTTTTCATTTTTATTTATTTCTTATTTTGCTCTAGTGGAAGCATATAAATTGTTGTTTTCTCAGTGTAAGAGGGAGTTTTGGCTGTGTTCTACTTTCAAATTTCCAATATGGAGAGTTTTCCCTATTCTAGGGTTGTATCCGAGGAAGTGTTGGTACTCCGACTGTATCCTCCTCCAAGATGGTGTTGTATCCTTCCTTTTTACCATTCCTACTCCTCCTCCTCCCCCCTTCAGCAGCCGCCAACCTCCCCATCCTTCATCCCCTACACCCAACTACCCTTCCCCAAATAGCTTACCCTTGTTTTCCTTCTCCCGGGACATCATCCCAGCCTTCAACCGCCATGTCCCTACAGTCCCTATCCTCAACCTTCATCCCAGCCCCGGTCACCGTTGTTCTGCAGCAAAAGCTGCTGCCCAACCCTCCATCATTGTTATCCCTGCAATTCTGCATTTTCCCCTCGCTGCCACCAGCATTCCTTTGTTGCCAACACCCCTGCCAACCATCCCGACCCACCTAGCCGACCTCCACCACCCTTGGAGTACACCTCACATGTGTTTGCTTGTGTCGTTCATGTTTTGTGTAGTTCTTTTTTGTTGTGTTGTGTTGTAACCTTCTCTCTACATCAATAAAAGTTTGTTTTGCATTTTCTGTTGAATTTCCTACCAGTTCCGGTATCACTCATTCTATTGGGAAAGCTAACCAATAGTTGAGGTTAAATGGGAGAAATATATGTGAAACTTAGCACATAATGTTTGAATTATGCACAAACATACATAGATTTAAAATGTAAATTTTCTTTTAGTTCCCTCCCTTCTTAAAAAGTAAATGTCATGACTCAAGAAAATAAGGCCTAAGCTTTGGTCTATTCCCGCAAATTGGCTAACAATGAAAGGACGATACAGGCAACTTTTGAAAATTCAGATTAGCATAGTTCAAGTACTTTCAAAATAAAGAAAGATGATGATACTAGTGCTGAAACAAGACAAATATTGGAAAACATAAATTCTGCAAAATATTTTAGGTTAGCTTTAAGCAAAATGTCTCAGATTTGGGGCATGACAGGACCAAATCTTATTTGATAGCCATCTTCAGGCCCTAAAACTATATTCTGAACCCTAAATTATTATGTATCTCAAAATAAACATTTAGGAACTAAATGAAATTGTGGAAACAATGAAAGAAATCCCGAAGCTTATTAAAAGTTTTGCCACTCTGAACAATGCATTATTCGTTAAGGCATGTATGTAGTATGAAGCAAACTTATCCTTCACGCCGGAAGGAAGTACGGATGCATAAATTCCCTTCAAATTCAAAATAATTAAGAATTTGGAAAATTCCAAAGATTTTCAAGCACCATGAAGATAAGGTAGCTCCAACACTTTAGTTAGTTAAAAACAAACAAATTGAAGTTGTGATTTGTCAGGGAGTTGTTTACAATAGCTTCAAAATATTTAACTTAAATGAAAAGCCAGCTATGGTAAGAGAATGAACAAATAAATAATTTTTTGCAGGGGAAGGGGTTTTACATGCATAACACTTGAGACACATGTATTTACATATCTCACGCCAAAGGCTTTTAATTTACTAACATAACACCTCAATTTTTATTAACACCAAAAAATAGATCCCTAGTCGTTGTTGTCTGGGCTGCTATCCAGGTTTTGATTTTTTAGCTCCCCGTTGCTGGGAGTGAGTTCCCGGTGTATGACATGGTGCTCTTCTATGTCCTACAGCTGACTGGAGTAGATGGTGTGGAGAGCACAATTCAGCTATATGATGATGCTGTGGATGGAAAGCAGGAGGGTGAGGAGCATGAGAGTACCAGACAAAAGAAGAGGTGAGTTGGAGGTGTTGCAGTTGGCCAGGTTGAGGAAGAGAGACGTCGGTGATGAAGGCAATGAAATTGGGGAGGAAGAGGCTGCAAGTGTCATGCTAGCAACAGGAGGCGGCGGAGGATTGGAATGAGAGCGGCAAGGGAGGTGAGGGCAAAGTTGAGGAGTGGGTAGGAAGAAGAACTAATGTAGCTTTAGCAACAGCAGAGTAAAGGTTACCGTTGACACTGTTGAAACCGACTGCGGGGAGAGTGAGAAAGCAGTTGGTGAAGTTTCACATGCATGGAATAAAGCACACCATGTTGAACCAGCATATGTTCAACCCCGCCAAGAAGCACAATACAAATATCTGCTTAACTCCCATTTGGACTGGTGAATGGAGCCGTGAAAAGAGTACTAATTTGGGCAATAATAAACATTTAGGTGATACACTAGTAAATTTAAAGCTTTTTTGTGAGTGATATGTAAATACATAGTTTTCAATGCTGTGTATGTAAATCCCCCATTTTTTATAAGATCATGCTTGAGAATAGATATCTATTGAAGTAAAAAAGGGAAACATGATAGTTTGACTTCATGTAATCTAAAGTTAAAAAATTTAATAAATTTCCTCGAATGAAAGTGGTTTCAATTAATATCTTTGACCAACAGAGAAAAAAAAGTTGACAAGGACACCACAACTTGGTGAAGGTAATCAGAAAACAAATTTCTTACAGTTCCCAAAAAGAAACGGGTCAATATTCCACCTCCCATTATTGCCGGTGCTGAATTCGCCCCATGCCACTACAAACTTGAAGAATAATAGATCTTGTAATTAAAAAGAGAGAGAGAGGGAGAGAGAGACTAGGCGTGCGTACACATAAAGATTAACTGCAAAAGAAAATCTATCTGTGCTTTCTCAATTTTATATATCTGGTTAAGAAATACAAATAAAAAAATTTCCTATATAGCTTCAAACTCTCACAAAAAGCTAATAAAAATGCATTACCATGTTTCTCATACTCGAATGGATTTTTGCTCCAGCCTTACCTCATGATATAATTTGATGCAGAAAATGACATAATTTTCCATAAAAACTTGAGCAAAGCAAATTTTCTTCTTTAATAATTCAAAACAACACGAATACAAAGACAGGCACCTACAATTCGAGAGAAAGGCAATCTCTCCCAATTCCTATGATTCAAGAGGTAGGAAATCTCTCCCAAACTCCAAACCTAAAACTCAACAATCTCATGCCTCCTTAAAACCAAAACTTATAGAGTCTATTTATACTAAACAATAATAAATAATAAAAGATTAAATTTCCTTTTGGCACACAAAAGACAAAATTACCCTTAGGCAAGGCACAACGTAACAATCCCCC